CCAGCCAGGATTTCTTATTCTTGGGCTCCAGGGTTAGGGCGAGGACAGCTCTGGAGGGGGAGTCGCCTCCTCTGTGTGCACATCCCGCCTGGCATTATGGGGAGGGACACAGAGCCTGTGTCACCAGCCCTGCACTTTCGGGGTCATTAAGTCCAAACAGCCTTGTCTGTACAGATGGGGAAACTGAGGCGCAGAGTCCCATGGCCCGGGCACTAGGAGGCAGGTCCCCCTCCTCCGCCCTCGCACCCCGTGCGGCCCGCTCAGGGTCTTGGGGGGTCTGTCGGACACGGTGCCTGTGTCTGGCACCAGCTAGCTGGTGGAGAGGGACTCACTGCTCATGGGGACAGCAAAGGCTTGGCCCTGGGTCTGGGCGGAGGATGGGAAGCATGCAGTGAAGGGCTCGGGTCCGGCCCCACTCCGTAAGCAGCCTGGGCGTGTGGCCTGGGCTCCGTCTGTAAACCAGGGGCAACTGGACCCGCCTCCCAGGGTGTCGGGGTGTCGCAGGACGGAGACACCGGCAGCAAGCACCTGCTAAGTGGCCACTGGATAGAGCTTTGCTCCCTTGAGCGACAGGATCCAGGTCGTGGGCTCTGACCGCTAGGGGGCAGCAGCCACGCTCTGCCGGGCAGCGAGTGGAGCTCAGGCTGGGGGCCAGACGGAGGGATGAGCACAGCCCTGGGGTTCCTCGCCATCCGCACAGCCGGCCGGGACAGGGGCATGCGGGGGGGCAAGCGGCAGACAGCCCAGGTCTCTGCAGAAGTGTCCGCAGCTACCCCGATGCCTGGACAGAGGCCGGGCTGGCAGGCGTGGTCCCCCAGTCCCCAGAGAACCTTTTGGCCCGGACGCTGGGCACCGGGAAAACCAAGCCTGAGTCTTCTGCCCATTAGGCTCCTGTCCTCCATCTCCAGGGCCCACGGCCCGGTTCCTGTAGGGTTCACATCCCCACACACCCTCCCGGGCCTGCCCTACACCTTGAGGAATTTCCTGAGCCTAAGGATGGCCAGGAGAACAGAGCCCCCCCCCAGCGACCCTCCCGCCTCCCGCCCAGCCCAGTGCCCTGTGCCCAACCCCAGAGGGTGTGGGGCGACTGGCTGACAATCATTAAACCAGCGGCCTGATTTCCCAGCACCCCAGCTAGGACGCTGGCCAAGTGGCACGAAATATGCAAATCACCTGGGACCAGGAGCCCAGTCTAAAGGCCAGGAAATCCCCTCGTCCAATGAGCCACCGGCTCAGGTTACGCAGCGGCTATAAAGGCCCGGCTGGGAGGGGCTCCCTGTGGATCTATTTAGGCGCTGGAGCCTCCAGGATTTCTGGCCTCCTGCTGTCCCTTATTCCCGCCCGCCTGCCTGCCTGACACGCCTGCACAGTCGCTTTGGTAGGTCCCCACCTGTCGCGTCCCCAGCCTGGGCCTGGGGACACGGGAGACTGGCAGTTCAGCCTTGCCCGCCGGGGATCTGCAGAGTGGAATGCGGGGCTGTGCTGAGGCTCTCAAGCAGAGGGCCAGGAGGAGGGAGCCCAGTAGGAAGCTGGGAGCCCCCAGCGGGCCCTTCTTGAAGAGGGGCTTCTGGAGAGGTGGGGACCTTCGTGCCCTCTGGGGCCCCCCTGGCCCAGGCACGGCTGGAGCGGAGCAGCCCGAGGGCTCGGCCCAGCCTCAGCAGCCGCCTGTCTCCCCAGGTGGCCTCATGGCTGCTACCTGTGAGATCAGCAACGTCTTCAGCAACTACTTCAGCACCATGTACAGCCCCGAGGACCCCGCCCTGGCCTCTGTGCCCCCCGCCACCACCTTCGGGGCCGATGACCTATTGGTGTCCCTGAGCAATCCCCAGATGCCGCTGGAGGGCACAGGTGGGCCTGGCGGGGTAGGGGGACTGGGGAGAGGCTGGGGAGCAGGGGCGAAGCTGGTGCCGGCCGATGAGGTGCGGACGAGGCCGATGCCGGCCTGGGAGACTCTCGAGAGCTGAGATGGGCGTCGGCAGTGGCCGGCAGGCGCCGCCCAGGCCCCGGGTGACCTGCCGCTGTGCCTGCCCCTTGCAGAGAAGGCCAGCTGGTCTGGGGAGCAGCCCCAATTCTGGTCGAAGGCCCAGGTTCTGGACTGGATCAGCTACCAGGTGGAGAGGAACAAGATCGACGCGAGCGCCATCGACTTCTCGCGGTGTGACATGGACGGGGCCACGCTCTGCAGCTGCGCCCCCGAGGAGCTGCGCCTGGTCTTCGGGCCTCTGGGGGACCAGCTCTACTCCCAGCTGTGGGACATGAGTGAGTGCCGGCCTGGCGCCCGGGGTCCCTCTCAGTCGGGCTGGTCCGGGGGGTGGCCCCCTGTCCCCGAGCTTGGGTCAGCAAGGCTGCAGGAAGGACCCGCAGCCCCAGGCCAGGGGGCACAGCCAGCGGGAGCCCCGAGGGCGAGTGGCCCTGAGCCTCCGCTTCCTCTCAGCCTCCAGCTTCCCCGACGAGCTCACCTGGATCATCGACCTGCTGGAGAAGGACAGCGTGTCTTTCCAGGAGACCCTGGGCGACCCCGGCCCCGCTGGTGAGAACGCGCTTTCTCTCCGCCCGTCCCTCCCCAGACTCCGCCCGGCTAGGAAGGTCAGCGGGTCATCACAGCTCTGGTGACCTCGCCTGAACCCCTCCTGCTTCTCCCAGACCAGGGAAGCGCCTTTGGCCAGGAGTCCAGCCCCTACCATGCTGGCGGCTCCGACGGCTCCACCGCAGGTGAGGGGCCTCTCCTGGGATGCAGCCGCCCTCCCCTAGTGTTCCCGAGCCCCTGGTTCCCAGGACCGGCCCCCGGGCTCCCTGGGAGGGACTGGAGCTGGCAGGGGCTTTGAGTTGCTCACTCGACGCCTCCCCTAGGGACGGGCAGTTCTCGGAGCCCCCGGTGCTCAGACTCCGGTGGGAGCGACCTGGACCTCGACCCCGGGGACAGCAGGCTCCTGTGCAGTGGTCAGTGCGGGCGTCCAGCGGGCAGTGCGGGCGTCCAGTGGGCAGGGCAGGGCCCGCCCTGCTCCTTGCCCGCTTCTGACCTGCCGCCCCCCGCAGAGGGCTGTGCTGACCACAAGAAGGGGGAGCCCAAGCACGGCAAGCGGAAGCGGGGCCGGCCCCGGAAGCTGAGCAGAGAGCCGCGGGATTGCCTGGAGGGCAGGAAGAGCAAGCACGGTGGGCGCCCTCCCGCTGAGGCCGGGCAGGTGGGGGGCGGGCGGGCCCTCCGGCCCCCTTCGATAAGGCCGCACACGGCCAGGCCTGGCCTGCGTGGCCTTGGTCACAGCCTAACTGCCGAGCCTGGCGGGCGGTCCTGGGAGCATGGGACAGGGAGGGTGTCCGTCCTCTGCACCTGCCCCAACCCCACTCCTGGGATGGCCTGGGGGTGTGAGGAGCAGCTGCTGGGAGCGGGCAGGGCCTGGAGACCAAGAGGGCCCCTGGGGAGCTGGACCCGCCTGCCCATCCACTGCAGACCAGGGCTGGCCCCGGGGCTGGCCCCGAGGCCCCGCTCCGCCCAGAGCTGTCCCAGCTGTCCCCTCACAGCTGGCTGGCCTGGCTGCTTTCTTCCTGTCCTTGGGTTGCTCCCAGGGAGCAGTCCCACGTCCCCCAGCTGGGGTCGGCTCTGAGGTCCCACACTCGCTGAGCGGGCGAGCCATTGGTGCCCGCTTTTACCCGGCGACCCCGCCGAGCCATAGCTCGCCACGGTCCCTCTCGCGTCCTGAGCCGACGGCCAGCCAGCATGTGAGCAGCGAGCGTCTGCTGTGCGAGCTGGGCCTCCTGGGCTCCCCGTCCAGGGGACAGCAGGGGGCCGGGGCCTGCTGACTGAGCTCCTTGCAGCCCCCAGAGGCACCCACCTGTGGGAGTTCATCCGGGACATCCTCATCCAGCCGGAGCTGAACGAGGGCCTGATGAAGTGGGAAGACAGGCAGGAGGGCGTCTTCAAGTTCCTGCGCTCCGAGGCCGTGGCCCAGCTATGGGGCCAGAAGAAGAGGAACAGCAGCATGACCTACGAGAAGCTGAGCAGGGCCATGCGGTGAGGGCCCCGGGGGCCCGGGGGCAGCGGCCCGCTGTGGAGCAGGTGGTGGCAGGGAGGAGGCAGCGGCGAGGCCCAGGACCCCAGTGCCCCCAGACCCCCGCGAAGGCGCCTTGCAGCCCTCAAGTCCTACGGCTTCGTGGCCAGCCCCAGATCACAGCGATGAGCACAGATGGACGGGCGCGGGACGCAGGGTCCAGGGCGTAATTCGGGGGGGAGAACAGAAGGTCAGGAAGTGGGTCAGGCGTGGGTTGATGGGGCCGAAGCCCAGAGGGCCAGGTCGCCCGAGGGACAGCCAGGCCGGGCGGGGACACTGGGGCACGGGCGCCTCTGACCTGTGTCCCGTGGCCGCATAGGTACTACTACAAGCGGGACATCCTGGAGCGGGTGGACGGCCGGCGGCTCGTCTACAAGTTCGGGAAGAACTCCAGCGGCTGGAAGGAGGAGGAGGTGGTCGGGAGTCAGGACTGAGGGTCCAGCTGGACCCGGGACAAACGCACGGACTCCGGGTGGACAGCCCCTCCTGAGAGGACTGCCGGCCAGCTCCCACTGTGCCGCGGGCGGAAGCCCAGGCTCTGGGTCTCCTCGCCACCTCCGTGTGGGACTACAAGCCGCAGTTTGAAGTGACTCATCCGCTGCCTGTACCGCACCTGCAGCTCCTTTACCTGGTGCTTCCTCAGGCCCAGTCCGGGCGCCTGGAGGCGAAGAGGCGGGAGGCCCAGGGCACGCGGGCGAGGACGGTACGGCCACCTGCCTGTGGCCTGGCCCCCACCCCCGTCAGCGCTGGCCTCGCGGGCGGGGGCCGAGCGCTCCCTAATTTATGTGCTGGAACTGCATCGGGTGTACAGAGAGATCTATTTTTCCTAAGATGTCCCCTCCTGCGCCTCCCCCACCCAGTGCCGGTGGCTGGACTGGCTGCTCTCCGTCCTCCGCTGGGCCGCGGGGGGCGGGGGTGCCGGGCCCCTCAGGGTGGCCGCCCAGCTTCCTCCGAGCGGCGGCAGAGGCCGCCAATAAAGTGCCTCCTGGGCTTTTGTAATGTTTGTCTTAGCTACCTGTG